CCATTTCCCTTTTAAATCATGTTTCACAAAAGAGTGTTAAAGTATTTAAAGGTAGAAACTTAGACCACACTTTACTCAGACGTTACAGACATTCTTGGCAACGGCACACCGCAGATATCATAGTCACATTGAAAAAGGCTTATCACAGGCGTGACAAACGTCTATAGCAACGATCTATAACAGACGTAAAAAATCGTAACCGACAGACTTCATGGTCCCGTCACAGACCCTAGGAGACAGGTTATATGTTATTATAATGTGTCCGCGCATATACGTATATATTAGTTTTATAACGGATCTCTAGGTTGCTAAATTGCTTCGTTTATAACATAAGAAGCTCTATCGTATTTCACATTTTTAATCTTGTAGGGATTTTGTTAACAGCTTTCTCATTCAGTAGTTCATTAGATCAGTAGTTTTAATGATTTTTTTGAAAATTTGCAAAAAAATTGAGCTGTATTTTCTTGTAGCTACACATGCACGAAGAACTGCTGTTGGTACAAGCCGTACTCTTAACGATGATGGTTTTCTTGGTGTTCTTCGTCGTATCCTTGGTAATCTCGATACTAGTGAAGATGATGATCGTCGTCGTTAGTCATCCAGGTATTTTACAAAAATATAAGTAATTTTGGTAGCAGACCAAAGATTCAATGTTAGTGATTGATAAATTGCTCATATTCTTTGCTTGAGACTAAAATCTCCAAAATATTTGTTTTTATTTGATTACATTATCTGTTCTCTTTAAGGATCAGCGTCTAAAGAAGAGTCAACAAATTTTCCAAACAACTTTGTTGACTGTCAAGACATCACAGAACATTTTTATTCATTATTTATTCTTCAGCTTCAATTTTTTTAGTTTGTTCAATGTCTTTCATGGTAATTCATTACCTTTTTTGTTTTATCTTCAGCTCTGATTTTTCTATTTTATTCAATTCTTTTTATGTTAACCCATTATCTTTTTTATTTTATCTTTACCTTTAATTTTCCTAATTTATTCAAAACTTTTTCATGCTAACCCGTTTCTTTTTAGTATCAAAATTTCGTATTTCTTTCATTATCTATGCGGTTCAATATCTTATATCTCAAATAAAATATACTTTATATTGCATACGCTTGTCTTCTTTTACCAATAGCAACTCAAGAAACTGTAGCGTCTCAAAAGAGATACCTTTTAATTAAACAGCATAGCTATTCAAAGCTTCATAGCTGTTTAAAATATGGCGCCTCCACGACAATATCGTAGCTATGTTAAACCTACAGTGGTTTGGTCCGCAATTCAGGGTGAAAACTTATTTTTTTCAGTTTTGGCGCTTTTTATTCGTTCTCATTTTTTCTAAGCATTAAAAGATATTGATTGTATAATATGTATATAGTCATACAGAGAGATCCACTAGCTACGACTAGCCATAGTTCTGAACACCGTCACTGGTATTACACATAAACAATTCTATATTCTCTGTAAAACTGTCTCTTTTCTTATCTTGATTTTTACTAATCACTCCTAAGGAATTTTTGCAGCTTCGTCTGTCTGTTGTACCCTTTCACAGGCTAGCTATCACTGACCAATAGCGTTCCACTTAATCTCTCTTATCTACTTATTTATAAAAAAAATGGACATTGATCTAGATAATCGTGATAATCTTGATCATAATAGTTTTCGGCCAGGTGCTGATAGGAAACGAAAACAATCAGCAGCATCGATTCAAGTTATGTTAAAGACGTGAACAAGCTACACGTAGACAAAGAGCGTCTAGATATAGAGCTAAATTAATATAATAGAATGATGAATTAAAACGGTTACATCAGAGTATTCAATCATCTTATCGTGATAATCCAACTGCTCTGTTGGTGATATTTAATATCATGTTATAGTATGTCGATCTAACACAAACAAAAGCTCACTGTGGATGCCATTCTCTATTGTAAATTAGTTGTTATATTTACAAAATAAATAATTTTTTAAACGGAATAAAACTTATGTCACACTTGATTTTTTTGCATATCTTTAATTTATTTTTGTATAAAGTTAATATGATGATTTATCAATAATATTATGCCATTACATAGACTATACCTTACCTTAACAAACTCCTAAGTATGACCAAAAAATAACGAAAAACTATTGCAGAAGAAATAATCTAAACACAACTGTTTTACCCTGAATTGCGGACCAAACCACTGTAGTTTATGAACAATTTTGAAGAATAAAAATAAAAGTCAACAAATAAAACTTCTAGAGAGAAGTCTCATTAGATTTATTGAGAGAAAGAGAAGAAAGGAGAAAAAAGATGGATGAATAAGAATAAAAGCTGTCAAAATCGAGAATTGAATTGAGAAAATCTTTCTTTTTAAAAAAAAAATAATTTTTACATTTAAATATTAGAACTAAAATAAAATAATTCATTAAAATAAAAATAAAGAAAAGATCAAATTAGTTTTATTTTATTAAAAAATCAAAATCGAAGAGAAAAAAGAAATTCGAACTTTCAATTGTTTCATAAATAATTTCTCGTTTATTTAAATAAATTCTTTTTTCTATCAGATAGGAAACCAGGGTGTGGGTGTGAGTGTTGGTATAGGTGTTGTATTCACCTAGGACTCACAGCCACATCCACACCCTCACCTTCACCCACAACCACCCACCCACACTCACACCCTCAAGAATCATTCAAATCACTGAAGAGATCGTTGTCTTTCAAAAATATAAAAGATGCAGAATAAGACGCAAGGTCTTATTAACTATGAAAATTTATGAGGTAATTTTTGTTTGTTTCTGTTCATAGTAATGAAAACAATTGTTTTTCTTTATTATATTTTTGTGCAGATATGTATAAAGGGCTTTTTTTATTTAAGAAGAGCATGTGTTTGTATGAACTTAATAAGCATCATAGTAATAATTGTTGAACAAATATATTTTGGAGATTTAACTAAAAATCTTAATTTGTCTTGATAATCTTTGTAGAATTGAGGTATTGGATGTAAGCCTTCTTTGATTTCTTTAAATGGACGGTAATTATTTCCATAGATCCATCGAGTTAAACAATAATAAAGACGAATGGGAAGAAATACAAATTGTACTGTATCCGATGACACTTGATAACTAAATTTATCGTATTTAAAATAAATATTTAAACAAAAACTTGAATCATTCATACAATCCGTTATCAAAAGGGAACTTTTACAAATAATATTTTTTCTCGTAGTTTATCATATCAATTCAAATTCTATAAGACTTTAATGAATTTTCATCATATTACGCAATTAAATTAGAAAGTCTCTATGAAGAAAACTTGAGCTGAAAGTGAAAATCTTTTTTCGATTTACTAAAACAACAATTGAGATAATAATCCAAAACGAAATTACCTATCAGAAAAAACTGATATTGAAATATTGTTAACAAGTAAATAACCAGTTAGAGTTAATGGAGAATAATAACCAATTCGATTATTCAATGTAATATTTGCAATTTTAATTTTTCTATTCAACATAATTAAATAATGTTCACGTGTTACCAATGATGAACGTTTTATTTTGATTTTATTATCTTGTTGATCAAATATTGGAATATTATGTCGATCTGTAAGACTAACTTCATGTCCATCGATTGTTTTAAATGTATAAAAAAGAGCTTAAATTATTAAATATTATAAAATCAAATGAAATTTTATTAGTGATACTAACTCGATATATTTGGTTCATTATGCATCATCATAATAACTTCATCTTCAACTAATGAATTTCCATCTCGACTAATTGACCAAACAGGATCACCCATTCTCAAAGATTCAATTGAACGTGTTTCACCATTTATTAATTGAACTTTATCTTTACCATAAAAACATCCATTTGCTAAGAATTAAAACATATTTATTATAAATTTTATTTTCAATTCATGTAATCTTAAGGGTGGTTGTGGATGGATATAAGACGAGCAAAACACTCATATCCACATCCACACCCTATGATAATCCGTTTCAGTACTAAGAAAATCATCTTTTCTATTTCGTTCTAAGAAAAACTTTCTTTACGCACTTGTCGTTGCAGTTGTTGCCGTCGTCGTTGTTGTTGTTGTCTTTGTCGTTGTTGTTGTAGTTGTCGTGGTTGTTGTTGTCGCGGTTGTTGTTGTCGCCGTGGATGTTGTTGTCGTAGTTGTTGTCGTTGTGGTTGTTGTTGTTCTTGTCGTTGTTGTTGTCGTCGTAGTTGCTGTCGTTGTTGTCGTTGTAGATGTTGTCGTTGTCGTCGTTGTAGTTGTGGTTGTTGTTGTTGTCGCTAAAAATATCAGTCATTATACAAAATGATTAAATTATATTCGTAGTTTTTTCACTCTTCAATACTCCTGGAAGACAGCAATCGATTTTTATGTTTATCTACTTTCTGTAAACATCAGTTACTCTGCTGAAATGCATACATTTTCACAGTCTTATTTTCATTAACAAAAAAACAGCGCTTGTATCGAATAACATATAAGTGCTATTCATGGAGTAGTTTGTGTATCGAAACTATATAAATAATACAATGTTTCTTTTTTTTCAGCTAATAAAAAAACTGCTTTGAAAACAAACATGCATCAAATTAAGGCTTCTTTTGAATAAAGCTTGCATTCATCTATTTACATGATTTGTTTCTCATTACGATCATAAATTTCACTTACTTGTGACAGTCGTCGGTATTGTAGTTCCATGAGCTATATTCAAAAATTTGATTTAAAAAACTGGATCTATAAGATAGAGAGCAAGATTACGTACATGATGATAACACGATTGGAATGCCAATCGCTGCAGCCAAAACAATAGTAACAGTAACTACCGAAAAAAACAAGTACCACATGTGACGGTATGAAAATTGCCTAGAATGAATAATAACACATTGTCCTATTAACGTTATTCTGTAATAAACACTATGAAAAGCAGTGAATCATGAGAAAAGGATATGATTTATTGTTATTATTTACTAATCACTTTGAGGATGTGGATATAATCTTAAGTTCATATCCACACTCACATCCTAGGAAGCCTATTTTGAGGGCGTGAGTGTGAGAGTAAGTATAGGTAATTTATTCATCTTCTATCTACTCACATTCATCCCTGTTAGCATCTCTGATGAGTCACTCGATGCTAAAACAGAGACTAAGCTAGTCCTTCAAGTCTAACTGGCTTAGGGCATCTTCTCGGATAGGAAAAGGTGTGGGCTCGAGTCCCACGAAGATCATCTTTTTCTCCATTTCTCTTTCTTTCGTTGTCCTAATGCGAAGTTAGCAATCCCATGATGTCGACTCAACGCTGGCTCTGTTGAATCAGTGCGAATGGGTTAAATAATAAGAAAAACAACTTTTTAAAACAAGTTCCTATAATGTGGAGTTATGATACATTAGTTTTACACTTACCAATGAATCTTCTTTGTCAGTTTTGCTTGTTCTAAAGTATTTTTCTGTGAACACTCATTTCCTGGTAGCACTTTGCTTATTTTATTGAATGTTACATGGTTAGTTGGCTGATAAGTATCATCAGAACCAAATTTTAATGAATTTTTCTTGGTAGACAGAGGTACTTTTGATGAGGTCTGAACAGAAAACATATTGATCACCTTGGCTAATTCAACCGGTCTGGGATGTAAGCGTTGTACATGAGAATGAAACGGTAGACTGGTGATGTGAGCTGCTTTCATACTTTTACCTTATCACTGAAATGAATTAAAATTTGTGTGCGGAATTTATCAACAAATTTTCTTTTCTTTGTTTGAATTCAATCTGTTCTCCGAAGTATATGACGAACAAAAGAAATGTAATTAAATGTATCACAGAGGTTTGTTTTATACTAATAAAAGAAACTGAAACCAAATAGAATACAACAAATCGATTGAGTTTCATCAATGCTTCTTCAATTATTCACATTCTGATTTGAGAGTAGGCGCGACGATGTGATTCTGTCTCAGAGCTGTACAAAATACTCGAGTACGACTTTTGTGGTACTCGTACTCGTATTCGAGAAAACCCGTATTTTCACAACTCTGGTGTAGGTATAAGCGAAGGTATGAGTTTAGGTGTTGGTATGGATGCTGTATCCACCTAGAACCCACACCCTTTTATGAAAATTTAAATAACTGAGAGTTAAATTACTACGATTACGAAAAGTTTTCTTTTGTCATGGCATAAAGATTGATGATTGTCAATAAAACGATTAATTTCAAAATTAAATAAATATTCTAGAAGATCTAATACATTTGTTAATTGTTTACTTGATTGATTTACTTAAGAGTAAAGACAGATTTTTCTTTCTTATGGAATGAATTATGAATACATGTTTCTGTGTAATAAAACGAATATCTATTCCATAGATTCCTATCCAATATACATTAATAATCAGAGTAAAACTTATGAAAAAAAAGGAATAACCAAGATAATCTTTTTTGTAAAAAATATCTCGTTGTATGAATTAGAAGATTCTAATGTGTTTTTCTTAATATTTTTCTATAAACATTCTTCTCATTTCAATTTATTTGTTTTTAATTAAATATTATTATCAATTCTCGATAATTATTTATCACAAAATTAATTTATTCAATATACATAAAAGATCAGATGAATTATAAAAGAATTCCTCAAATATATTCAATACAGGTTTACGAAAACTATTAACAACATTTTCTTTGCCTCTTTTCTATTAAAGAAAGAATAATAATAATCAACTTTCTCATCTTGAGGGTGTGGGTGTGGATCAGATAAGTAATGCACACTCGCATAAAGCAAACACCCTAGATTTGGTTGTGATTCATTGTGAGCAAATATAAATATTTTATATACACTACCATTTTGTTCATTTATAATAAAGAAGAAATTTTATTTTTCTGTTCGTTGCATACGTTACATGATTCACTGTCCTTAGCGATGTCATGTGTGATTGTGCAATTACATGTTATTGCACCATCGTCATGTAATTTTCGTACTATACAAAACTATATAAACTGCTGTTTCATTTCACAAATGTTATACAATATATCAACCTTTTAAAACCGTTCTTTGTGAGGTTCTACATATTATAATTCATTCATAATCAGATAATGGTAGCTGTTACTCGTGCTGCGTTAGCTCGTCAACTGCAATCAACAAAGACAACTCGTGCAGTTGTATCACGTGTTGTAAGAAAAAAGTCGCCAAAACAGAAGAAAAGAATAGTTAAACAACGTGTAACAACAACATCTATCACTTCAGCACCATTGCAACCATATAATGACGTCGCAGGCAAAAGTAATATTACGAATGCCATTGGATACGATCATTTCGGTAACCCTACAGGAAGAGAATATGATTTGGGTCGAGATGGAGCATTTATGGGATTTAATATTTTGATTGCACAATTCTATTGGGATTTTCAATTTAATGACACAGCAATGCAAGTACCGATAGATGAGTTAAAGAAGAAAGGTTTCCAAGTGAAACATATTAAAACTGAGGATGAATGTATAACAGAACTTGCTTCGAATCGTTATCAAATCGCATGGATTATCAGCACTAGTCATATTCAGAATCCGAAATTTATTTCATCTTTAACAGCTTTTCATTCGGGTGGTGGTGCAATTTTTTTATTTGCTGATAATGTACCATATGTATGTCATGCATCTGAATTTCTTAAAACAAAATTTGATATTACTGTCGATGGAAGTTATTATGGCGGACAAACAATGACATACAAAGAAGATGGTCATCAGGAAAAAGGAAATTTCGGTCAACATGAAATTTTTACTGGTATCACAAGTTTATTCGAAGGTATCACTATATGTCATCCAGTATATTCAACAACAGCAAGTCGCGAGATATTCATCCCAATAGCAACTGCTAGTGACGGTAATACTAGTATTGCAACGTATGATCCACCTTCGACATCAACAGAAGGACGATTATGTTTAGATTGTGGCTTTACAAAATTGTATATTAATTGGGACTCAGCAGGTGCAGCTCGTTATATCGTTAACGCCACTTGTTGGCTTTTAGGAATTGGTAAACATTAGAAATAGAACAAATAGAGATAATAAAATATAAACTTTTTTTTTTATAAACATTCTTTAAACAAAACAGAATTATCAGGATTACTATATTTGATGAAAAAAATACCTCATATATTTCTAAGGATGTGGGTGTAGAAATATCTGCAATAGAACACATCCATCTTTGAATAACAGAATATTGTCTCATGAATATCACTTTGCCAATAAACGGTTGATTTTCAAATATAATTAAAGACTTTTTGTTAATAATAAATCATGAATAAGAATAATAAATGAGTATTTTGTCTGGGGGTGTGGGATTGGGTAAAGGGAATTACGACACTCACACCCACATCCTCAAGATATTGTATGCTGCAGTAAAATAAGAGTGTAGGTCTGTGTGAGAGTCTGAATGAGTTAGGGTATGGTTACGAATGTGGATGCATCTTCTCTTGATCATCGTCCAGATTCACACCCACACCCACACTCTCAGGAAAAAGAAGTGAGAGAGAACAGTTTCCCGAAGTAAAATGAATACTGATATATAAATTGGTGTGAGTTAAGAAAAAAAATAATGTTCTCCTCCGTTAAAATATATCCTGTCCTGATATATGAATTCATGAGAGTTAAGGAAAAAAGTGAGAAAGAATGCCTTCATTAAATAGAATGAATATTGACATATAAAATGATGTATGCTAGAAAATAAAGAAATAAACAATGTCTTTCTCCGTTAGAATTCATCCTGTTCTGACATACGAAGTCTTGAAAGTTAAGAAAGAAATTGAGAGAAAATGCTTGTCTTAAATAAAATTAATACTGATGTATAAAGTGATGTATGATTAAAAAAAATATCCTTGTCAGTGAGGCAAAAACGGAGAAAGCAAATACTTTCTCATATTTTCTTACGTACATGTTCGTATATTATCTTAAAGGCTTCTATATTGAGCGTCGTTTTCTTTGATTCTTATGACATTTTCTGTTTTCGTTTGTGCTTTCGAATGATCATTAATTATAATGATGTATTTACATTGTTATCATATAAACGGAGCGTGTTTTCTTTTTTTTTAATAGAAAAATCTTTTGTTTCAGATAGTTTTTATGTAATATTGAAGTAATTATAGTGTATAAGAGAAAAATTCTATGTAGTGAAAGTCTTTTTGTTCTATCTTTTTTTGAAATCTTTTGGATTTAATTTCATAACGTTGCAAAATTTTGACGAAGGTTTGCGAATTGATAGAAACAACGGAATAAATGTTTATAATGTAATTTATTACCAAAAGAAAAACAAACTCGTTTTTTGTCTTCATTTTGTGGGTGTGGGTGGGTGCGAGCGTAACCTTTAATTGGAATCCACCCATACACTTATAATCACTTCCAAAACATCAGGTTTAGTATTGAAACAATTGAAAAGAAAGGTGAGAAAAAAATCTCTTGTTGCTTTTATTTTGTTTTTGTGAAACACGATCTGAAAGAGAGTGCTGACGTGTTTCATAAGGACAGAGATTTGGGCACATTCCGCCCCGCAGATCGTGACAGAAATAGATAAAGAAACCGGTATCATTATGTGTAGATTACTAGCAAGTGTTCAACTGTGTGAAATATTTTTCTCGATTTCTCACGTAATGTATTAGCATTTATTAAGTATGAGAGAGATACATCAAATCGAGTACAACAAGTTTATTTATATTTTCAAGAAAAACA